AAGGCCAGCTTGAGGGCTGGAGATCTGGGAATAATAGTACAAAAACTGAGCTGAAATGGGGCTTGCAACCTCATAAATATCTGCTTTACAATTACAAAGTGACAGCTGTGAAAATGAATCAAAATACTGGCTCATTTTCCTTTTATATTGTCTTGGAGGAAACTCTGTGATAAATTTCATTCTGCTTGAAATAGAAGAGCTCTGGACTGTGTTTTTCCTGAAACTGGCAATTGGTATTTTTTGACTCTCCAAAATGTTTGCTTCAATCAGAAATGCTTCACAAAAATAAACATTCACAACATTGATGCTTACTCTGTAACGCAGTAGGACTCTTACATCTTAATATCTAAAAATACTCAGAAATATATAATACATAATGTATAAAAATACTAACAAAGATATATCACCATTTGTTGGCTAATAATTGCATTTTAAAGTTAATTTCTCGTATGAGACACTGATCATGCTTTCACACCATGTTTCAGTCAAAATACAAATCATAAAGGTGAAGGATTCAGCTCATTTCCAAAAGAAAAAAAAATCGTCTTAGAAGCAAAAACTGAAAGATGGTTGTTATGAAGCAATAAATCTATTGCAGTTCTGTGAGCTGCAAGTCTTGGGCAACATGTAAGCTTACAATTGCTTACAATTAATAGCTTTTTCTGTACTGAAGGAATCTTGATATGTAAAAGTGATAATTAAACATTTTTGATCAATTTTTAGGGAATTTTTAGGGAACTCTTTTGTGAGTTAATAACCACAAACTTTGAGTAACCCAGGGAAATACTGCTGAGGCTGGCTCCCCCAGACTGCCTATAGAGTATTTTGCACATGAAATACAGGAAACAAAGCAATAAGCAGGATAGTAAACATCTAAATCCTTGTGCTGCTGATACATGGCCGAGCTATCTGCTCTAGGATAGGAAGACCCTCCAGTAATGGAAACACATCTCAGCCTTGCTTACGTGCTCAGTGTACTTGCAGTGAAGGGTCCAGCAGACCCAGGGAGCTCTGCTGGTTCAGCCAGGGCACTAACACCAGACCCTTAGGCCAGGCTTTGTGTAGGATGGGACTGAGGATGTCTCTTGACATGCAACAACTAAATATCTGCAGGATGAGAGCTTTGGACTTCTGCTTAGAGTGAAGAATACCAGCACTTAACTAAATAAGTCTACTGGTTTCTACAAGAAGGCATGATACCGAGAAGCCAACCAAAGCCAATGGATAAGAGAGCACAGAAAGCGAAAAAAATGAGGTGTTGGAAAGAAAATAAAATCTGCCTTAACATACACAACTCCCACTGAAGTTTACAGCACATGAGAACTCGCAGGGCGCTGATAAAACTTGATCTACTGCTGTAAGCTCTGTACAACTTCAAATAAATGAATCATGGCATCAATTATTAATAAACTGATATATACTTTATTATGCACAAGAGACTAAGATGACATGACACTGCGGTTATCAAAACTGTACATGTATGCATTTCCACAAGTCTCTGAAATACTGAACATAAAGTGAAATACCAATGGGGTGTTCAGACTGGCCACAGGTATTAACAAAGAAATTTCTCCCATTCTTTGATTAAAAAAATCTGGTGTTTGGGTCTGAAAGAAATGTGCTTATTTATTTGATGTTGAGAATATTGTGTTTGGAACTGGTAGGAACATGGCAGCAAAAATCTGGTAACACTAAGAACACCCCCACGAATGACAAACAACAATAGGCAGAACAGTCACCTCACAGGAAGGGCTGTCAGCACAACCAACAGTACAGTCTTCTTGTGAAGCATGAGGTAGATATACGTAAAAGGAAGAATGGTACATATGGGACAGAAATGGTTAGAAAAGGGCAGGGGGAAGGTTACAATCATAAACATCTACAGACATTTTGCAAAATTCATTTCATGTGGGAAATGCTACAAAAATAGCGTAACACAGATCTGACATCTTGAAACATGAATACAGTAATGTCCAAACCCAAGGTTAGAGTTAGCGATCAGATGATGCATGACAACAACAAGCAGTCTACTTTGGAATTTAAGTACATTACTAATAGCTATTACAGACAGAAGGTGTCCCTTTTAAGCCCAATCCTCCTGTTCTTACCCAAGAAGTTTCTTCACAGTCAATTCCACCACACTGAAATACACCCCTGAGCCCATGCCTCCAAAGCCCTGCTTTAAAGCCCTCTGCTAGGACAGGAGTGTCTTACTGGCCTCCCACACCCTGGGGGTGCCTGCCAGGGGAGGCCCAGCACTGTGAGACCACGTTTGGCAGAGTGGGAACCAGTGGCTTTGGGGTTCTGGGTTCAGGAGCTTGCCACACCACACACAGAAACTTGCAGTACAGATGAATGGCTGCTATAAAAGTAGAGTCTATAGGTGTATCAGTACTCTGAACTGCAGGCAGCTTAACATTTGCTGGAAAGTACTGTACATTTTTGTAATAAAGCTATTACCTGGGAATGCCTGGGTTTGGTTCTCTCTTTTTTTATTGAAGCAGAAATGGCTGTTCCATCTCCTAAGTAATCACATCTAGTTTTGATAGCCCCCAATAACCTGTTAATTCAGATCACTAACAATTTCTGAATTAAATAGCTGAGCAAACCAAGTTCAGCTCACTAATCTAAACTGTATTTCAAATGCAAGTCAGCAAATGGAATCCTTTATCTTTATATAATTTTTGGTTTATCCAGCAGTAAATAGAAATCTGTAAATGGTTTAAAAATTAGAGTAAATTTTCAATAAAAAGATAGATAATGCAGCATGTTTCTCTCAAAAATATACAATTACCTATTTTACATAAAAGTTTTCAACCTGTCCATCCCAACAACCAAATCTAGTACTTCCTATAAGCAACTACCTAATAAAATGTCTGAGGAAGGAAAGGGTTAAAACAGGGAAAAGAATTTACAAAATATGTAAATTTCACAGTAATTGAAATTAAACATTTCATATAGAGTAACTTACATTTATCTAAAACATTTAAATATATCTTTATACAGAAATTTAATGTAGTAAAATATAGCTATGATTGAACTTAAAGACTCTAGTCTTCTTTGAAGACATCTTTAAAGACTTTACATATAGAATATGCTTATACAATACATTCAGCTGAAGGTTAGGCAAAGCGCTTTCTTTACAACCACACAGGTAGCACATTCATCCTCCTGACACCTCAGAGCAGAGCCAACCCTGCACACCTTCTGCATGGGGGTAACTACATTTAGGTGACAGCCCTGCCGACGTTCCCAGGAATGCTGACTGGCCTGGTCACATAAAGCACTTTTTGTATGTGTAACTCTATACACCGACTCTCTCCATGGACTCAGAGAACAGCCGTAACGTGTAGAGTTGAGCATGTGCTTGTACTAGCAAGAATGTAGTTACTCATATGCATAAACGTCTGCAGGATTAGTAACAGCTTTGATTTAAAGTGAGTAATATTCCACCTGATCCTGGGAAATTACATCTATTTCATATCTTGCACTTTGACCGTCCTGGCATCAGCAAGGCACAAGTGTAGAATCAGCAAGAAATCTGCAGCTCAGACTTCAGAGCAGACTATCATTCTAGTGTAATGGATTTCCTTCTCCTCTGGCAGAACATGGGTAACCTTCACTGAAATTAATGAAAGATACTCATCTCATTTTTAGACAAAAAAAAGAATTTTTCCTCAAAGGAGAAGGATCAGTAGAACATATTACAATTACAAAGTGGCAACATAACAGTCAAACAACTACACATTAAAAGTGTTTTTTTTTCATTTGGCATTGATTTGAAGGTGAAGATACAGCAATGACACTAGAAAAAATAGTGACAATTAGTACCTTTCTGCCATTTCCATTCTGACACTAATTTGAGACTATCCAACTTCAGCGTTCATACAACAGTTTAACACAAACAACTGCAAAACAATCCTAAGAGAATAGCTTCATTTTGATAGGCAGTATTCTGCACAATGGGCTCTACTGTGCAGTCTTTGTGCCCTCAAAACCATCTCTTATTTCAAAGCCAATTTAGGCAAGCTAAAGGATTAGAACCAAATCACCTTTTTAATCTCCTTTATCTACCTATTATAAACTGAAGAAACAGTTTTAATTTTTGAAATGTATATATACATATCATCTATTTTATGTATGGAAGGAACACTGAGCTGATTTCCCAATTGTTAAAGTGGCAAGTTAGGCTTTGTATACTTAGGTATACATCTATTTGCATAAAGAAATTGCCATTAAAGTTACACACAAGTCTGTGTTAGTGCACAAGAACATTATTTGTCTTAACGTTTGTGTGTGCCTGTATTTGGTATCATAGTTTAAAAAGATGTCTTTTTAAGGAGCTTTGGCCCAGAGAACAAGAAAGGGGATGTTAAGAGTGTGCTCTTCTCCAACTAGCCAATCAATGCATATTAAAACAAAAATACCTGGAACCTGAAGCTGCAAACACAACAGGAAAGCAAATGAGATGCTATAGCTGTAAGCTTAACAAAACCAAGGTTACTCAAAAGTGGCTAAACATAGTTGAAGTAATCAACTGTTATTAACCAAAGAGATCTGACCTTGAGTCTTTCTTGCTTAGACAAGTAGAAATCCTTTTGACCTATGTCTGTCTTTGTTCTGCTTATTTTGTTGAATTCCCTCAATACCTTATGTGAATGTCA